CCCCTTATTTGTATTCCCCGTCTGGGCAATCAACAAAAATTCGAATATTTTCGTCAAACAGGCGCATGCGACTGGACATTTTTATGTACAGCACGAAAACACATAGAAATGGCATGAAAAAACACAGGAGACTCTGTATTGCTATAGCACAAAGAGAAGGGTTCATCCTTTGATAGAGGCGACTACGGATTTGGGTTAGCGAGTAGGTGACTCGCGTTGTATCTACCAGCGCTGAAGGCAGGTGTCGAAAGCAAGAGCGATCCCAAGCCTATTAAACGAGTCCATCAGGCAGCTTTGTAGGCAAAAAGGCGAAAATTGTCAATGCAGTCAGCCTTGTCAGGATTCACGATGACCCCATGTAATGCCAAGCGCTCCAGACTAGGGCGAAACAGGACACTCCTCTGTTGGAAAGACACCAGACCATAAAGCGCCAAACCTCAGTTAAGGAGTGTTTTCCATTTCTGGGCGCTACAGAGACTAGGCTAATGCATTTTAGTGGTAAAATGACATCAAAAAACAGCTATTCGAACAATCACTTTGAAACAAGGCGGCACAGACCCAAAGAGACACACAACCTTTGCCTCCTTCACGTTATCTGCGCAAGGTAAGATTCGACCACCCAAGTAAAGAGACTTGGACACCCAAAGCATCGCAGGTCAACTGCACAGATCGGTGCCAAACACACATGATAACTGTACACACATCGGGCAATTACTTGTTTAAATTACATGGCATTTTAAGATTTCAAATGAGGCTATCTGTACGTGGACGGCGCCGATAATATTCAATGTAGGCAGTTACGTTTTGCAGGCTCAATGGGTTTTGGATTCTATCCCACCAGTGCAGTCGGTTAGCAACGGGTTGGCGAGCATACTTGAGCCATCGACAATGCGAAATTCAGTGGAAGTAAGAGAAACAACCGAGGTCAAGAGTGAGGTCGGTGGCGTCTTGCGATTTGAATGCAGCTGGAGTCAAATACACATGAGTGGAGCACTTTATAGTAATGGTAACTGGAGTATTCACATAAAGAAAACGCTGAAATCCAAACGGCAAATTGTTTACCCGCGAGTTGAGCTGTTTGAGTTTTTTTACATCCAGTGATAAATCTCAGTAGTGTTGGTAAAGGCATTGACTTAAGACTAAATTGAAGGTCCATTCTCACGTGGGTCATTGATGATAATCGAAAGCATCACTCAAACCGTTCCCTCAATTCAGTACATTATGACACTCAATCGAAGACAATTTTTGTAGAGAAAATATGGAGACTATAATGAAAACCTCTAAAACTGCCAACTTATATTCCGACCCACGCGATTTCTAGTTTACCGCAAGTACGTGGGCCAATTTTGTTGCAATGGACACAAATAGGCAGATCTAACTAGCTCGCAATTGATCACAACTCACAATGAAAATGGTTTATTTCATTGTTATCCGGTGGCGAATATGAACATAAAGAGCAGCAAGCTAAATAATTCGCGAATAGGGCGTCTTATAATGATGAGCGAGAATGCAGTTTGATGCTGCGGGAAGTTGACTATCACTTAAATCCTAACTCGCACTCGAGTCACTTAACCAACCTGTTTGGAACATAACCTGGGCATCAACAAAATAGATGGCCAAAGCTGTCGCGTGCAAAACCGGGAGTTATTGGTTGCTCACAAACTATTCTGGGCGCTCGACCGATAAAGCTTTATCAAGGGACTTTCAACGGCAACATCAATCGTCTGTTGGTCTGCGTCATTCGTAAAGCAACAAAAATCAAGCCAACTTAACCAGCATGTTCTTCTGATCACTTCCGTGGAGGACAAGGAGGCTTGTAAGCGCATATTCCCATGAGCTATGCTC